GCTGAAGATTCTTGAGTCTGGAGTGAGCAATGAAGCGTTATCATGCTGTACTGAGCTTGTCCCTGACGTCATTGTTGTGACATCAGTGCTGTGATATCAGTGTTGTGGTATCAGTCTTGTGGTATCAGTGTTGTGACTGAGTCGTGCCTGTCCCTGAGTCAGTGGAGTCCCAGGATCATGGGGAATGTCTCCTCTCTCCTCTGCCCTTCCCTTGGCATTCTGGGCAATGTCTCCTCTCTCCTTGCCCTGCTCCTGCCCCTCCCTTGGCAGCACCCACTCCAGGACACACTGGGTTCCTGGCAGTGAAACCAGGGAGAAACCAGAATTCTTAATCCTCTGTATCCAACAGCAACACTGCTCTGGCAGTTTAATCGTCACAACTGATTGTTCTCAGGGACTTTTTTGATACTTTTGGGTGGATTTGGACTTAAAAACCTTTCCAGACATGCTGAGCTGACTGGCTGGTGGATCCCCATCAGCTCTGTCCCCTGGAGGTCCCTGGTGTGGCACTGGGGTCCTGCAGCAGCAGTGCCAGAGGCAGCTGGCTCGTGGCTCCCAGTGAGTCAAAACAACCATAAAGTCAAATGGGATCAGTCAACCAAATATGTCTGGGGCAAGTCACCTAAACAATCCCAATAAATCCACCCCACTGCATTCCTTAAAACAAGCAAAAATGTATTTGCTCTGGTGCCAAGCACACTTCCTTTTGTCCTAAATTCCCCCTGCACTTTGTTCTGACAAATATAAATGTAGTTCTTTGTTTGCCTTTTAAGTTTTTATTGACAATGTCGTCGGTGTTCCCCTCCCATCTCCAGCACCACCTGCCCAGCAGAGGAATTCAGGCTTTCAGACTGAAGATGAAAACAGGCTTTAGTGAGCTGGGATTGCTGGGTTTCCCACCAGGATGGCTTTAAAGAGGCAAGGCAGTTTCTTTGCTGCTCTTTTGCTGGTGGCTCAGTGCAGCAGAGAAGAGTCCTCCCTCCTCTCACACTTCTCAGGGGCTGCTCTGGTCCAGCTTTATGGAATCCTCTCCTCTGCTATCCCGGAGACAGCAGTGAGTGTCCTTGGAAGAGGTTGAGCAGAGCTGCAAGAGGGACAGACTCTCAGGAGGTCTCAGCTTTTCTTTCAGCTGCACGAGCTCCTCAGAATGGCTCACACCTCAGGGAAGAGGAATTCCCTGTTGTTTTAGTGGAAGCTGCTGGATACTGAGGAGTAATGAAAATCAGTCCTTAGGGTGGCAGAGGAAATTTGTTGTGTCTGACTAATGAGTCAGTAACAGCAGGCTGATCATTCCCAAGGCAGGGCAGGCAGATGGTGTCACTGGAGAGGTTCTGAGTGCAGCAAACCAAGAGCCTTCAGCCCCTGCTCCCAGTAACTCCAGTTCCTTCCTGTCTCTGCCCACTTTGCCCAAGGCTGTGCTCATTCCTTCCTACAGCCCCCTGAGTGAGAAGTAAAAGGGTTGTGCTTTTCTACAGCTCCCAGCCCTTCCATGGTTAATTATTTTAATTAACTAATCTGTTCAAAACATCCAGAGCCCGTTGAGCCATCTGGACAGATTCAAGTCACATATTTGTATTCCTGATGTGCTGATTAAATCCTTCCGTTTGCCCCAAGCTCTCAGTGCAGCCAAATGTGCCCCTCCAAAGCTGCTTCACACAAACAGCTCAGGGGGTTGGATCTGTGGGGAAAAGGTTCTTTTTATCTTTGGGAGAGCTGTGCTGGAACCCTGGTGCTGGCACAGCCCTGAATCCCACTGTGGTTTGGGTTGGGAGGGACCTTAAAGCCCATCCAGTGCCACCCCCTGCCATGGCAGGGACACCTTCCATGATCCCAGGTTGCTCCAAGCCCTGTCCAACCTGGCCTTGGGCACTGCCAGGGATCCAGGGGCAGCTGAAGGATTGCTCTGGCACCAGGCAGGAGATGAGCAGAGGGCCCAGGGCTGGGGGCTGTACAGAGCTCTGTGAAAAGCTCTTACCATCATCATCCCTTCCTGGGGGTGTCACCCCTGTGTTGAGAAGCAGGAATCCTGGGACTGAGGTTATGGGTATTCCCTGCCATGGAAATTCCTAATTACCAGCAAGATTTGGGAAAATAAAAAGCCAAGACAAATCTCTGGGTCAGGAAGGTTTAAACTGCTCAAAATTGGATTTACCAGAGAGGCTGAAGTATCTGGGGATGCTGTTGGTACATCAGCACTTGGGACACCTGGAATGGGGAAGGAATTTCAGCCTCTCCAGCCACGTGGCCTTTAGCATCAAGAACAATCACATGCAGAGATTTCCTCTCCTCCTGTGCCCTGATTGGAAGGAAACTTTCCAACATCCATCTCAGAAGGGGTTGTCTTGTCGTGGAATTCATTTTACAATAAAACTGTCTGAGTTTTTACACATACCGTTGACCTTTAATTGGTATATGAGCCCATAACTCTTGGGCTCCCAGTTTTATACAGGGCAGGATGGATCAGTGCAATTCCTCAGCTTGGGAGTTGTGTGAGCTTTAATGACTCTGTCTTAATTTAAATAAGATAATCTTGGCTTTTGCAAGGGAGCTGAGGCACCTGGAGGACACCTTTTGCAAGAGCAGGCAACTGAGCTGAGAGAACTCTCCTGCCTGGGTGTCTCTCCCCATGGCAGAGCTCCTCCTTTACCCCCCTGGCACCCAGGATTTGGGGGGTGGAAAAGCTTTTAAACCTCTCAGAGGAAAACTCATCCAGCACCAGAGTGTGCCCCAAACTCTGCAGCCACTTCAGGCTGGTCGATGGACACTTACGCAGTGGTGATCCCACCACTCCTGGAAATGTTCAAAAAACACATTACTGTGGCACTTCAGGACATGGGTTAGTGGTGGCCTCAGCATGATGGACTTGACTGCCATAAACATCTTTTCCAACCTTAACAATTCCATGATTCTGTGATTTTTCCCAGCCTCATTCTTTCCATGTGTCAGAGCCAAACCCAAGTCTCTCTGTGGTGGTGGCTGTTGGGATGAAGGGCTTGGCTGAGCTGGATCCCTGTGGGTTCCTGTCACAGACATCTTTTGTGAAAAATCCTTTCTTGGGATTTTTCCCCCTTCTGAGAAGCTGTGGCCTCAGCAACAAAGTGTAAACAATGGTTATCTGCTGCTGTGGAATGCAACAGGTGGATCTGGAATTGGTCTCCTGTGGATGTTTGGATTTACTGACCACTCACAGCAGAGCTGGGCCTCACTCTCTACTGAGACACAGAACTTTGTTATCATCCTTTTCTATTCTTAGCTTAGCCAGCCTTCCTTCTATTTCTTTTTAGTATAGTTATAATGTAATATATATCATAAAAATAATAAATCAAGCCTTCTGAACATGAGGTCAACATTCTCATCTATCTCTCACCCTGAAAACCCCTTGTGACCACCGTCACAGGTTCCCCCTCACAGGATCCTTGTTCCCTGCAGGTAAACGGCCACCTGGACTACATGAAGCAGATGGACACCATCCTAAAAGCCGTGGGCATTAAAACCAAGGACTGCCAGCTGGAGGAGAGGCGCAGTGGCAGTCTGTTTTCCCCTCAAGCCAAGAAATCCCAGCGGGCAGCTGGCAGCGAGGCTCAGGGAGAGGAAAACACCAGGAAAGAGGAGGAGGATGAGGCTGGGAGTGCTCACCGACAGAATTCCTCCGGCTCTGCCCTGGGAGAGCCCTCTGCTCCCTGCCCACAGTGCTCACACAGCACAGACAGCAAGGACCAGGCAGTGGGGAAGGGAGCAAACTAGGGCAGAGCAGCTCAGCCAGCACAAAACCCGCTGTCAGCACATCCGTGGCTCCGGGATTCCCAGAGGATGGAGCTGCAGCTGCAGTTTGCAGCCCCTCCGGAGCGAAGTGTGGCACTGCCGTGGCACCGGATCAGAGGCTCGGAGCAGCCGCCCTCGGCACCGCCCCGAGGCGGGACAGGGCACATTCCTGCCTCAGCCCGCCCTGCTCCAAGGAATCCGAGCCAGATCCCATCCAAATCCTCGCAGGAAGCAGCTGCGCCCCTCGGCACCGTGTCCCTGCTGTGACTGGGGGAAGCAGGTGGCTCCGAGGGGATTTTAAACCTTTCACAGAGAAGGGTTCATTATAGGAAATTAAAACCATTTCTCCACTGGAGATGAGTCTGGTTTGAGGATCTCAGGGTTGTTCCAGGCTCTACCTGCCCCACTCTGGACAGATGTGGATCTGCTCTCCAGCTCTGCTGACCCAGAGGGGAAAGGCTGGGGCTGCCAGGCTTCCTTCCCTGCCTGCTGCAGGTTTGCTGCCAGGCCTCAGGCACTGTCCCATCTCCAAAATGGTTTCCCTGTCTCCAGGCTGAGGTTGTGGGTGTTGGAGGCCCTGTTAGAAACATGTTTGGGACCCTGGGGGAAAACCAAGGGGGTTTTGGATGGTTTATGAAAATCCCAGGTTCTCCAAGCCAGCAACCCACTGAGACTTTCCTTTTGTGTCCCACAGACATCTCCAGCCTTAAAAGCTCCATCCAGACATATTTTTAATTGGCTTAGAATAAAACCAATACTTGGCACAGGATAAACATGGATCTGTTTGATTTCTGCCTCCTTCCATAAAAGTGAGTTGGCTCCACTCTCTTCATCCCCAGTCTCAGAGCAGAGGGAAGGACCCAGCCCTACATTCCCTGCCAGCACAGCTCCAGAATGATCCACATCATGTGGATCATGTGGATCATGTGGATCATGTAGAAGATGTGGGAATGATCCACATCTTCCACAAAAGCCCCTTTTCTGGCCAGTGTTGCTGCTGAGCCCAGGGAAGTGCATCAGGCAGGAGGGTAACCCCCCTCTGGGGTTTTGTGCTTTGCCACAAGGGAGGGTTCAAACTCTTCCACCCCCATCTGGGGGTCCTGTTGACTCATGAGAGGGGAAATACTGGGATTGCACCTTCCAATTTTGGTTCACACAAGGTTCTCTCCCTCCTCCTCCCCACTGACCCAACAGCCTTGTTAATCCCCCTCCCATTCCCAGCTTCCTGCAGACCTTACCTGCAGATCATTCCTCGTGGAGTCAGACCTGGCTGGGTTTGGGGGTGATGCTGTGACCCAGCAAAGCACCGTGGTCTGGATGCAGTGCCTGGCAATTCCTGTCCCTAAATCCATCATCCCAGGGGCTCAGACCTGCCCAGCTCTGCCCTGGGGGGTGCCTTGCTGCGGAGATGGGAGGGCCTGGCTGTGGGATCCCACAGGGATGGGGCTGATCAGCCAGCTGCTGTTGGTGCTGCAGGGCTGGGATGCGATTCTCTGCTCATCCGAGGCTTTGTCCACAAGCAAACACCCAATCACACAGAACTGCCTGCATGAGACAGGGAGGAATTATTGCTTTTGAACATTTGGCTTGAAGAGGTGACTGTCCCTCTCTCTCTGTCCATCTCCCAAGGCTGATTTGGTGCCTAACAAACTTCCAGACTCCACAGTACCTTTTTCTGCTCCTTTTTAACTCAGGTTGTAGTCCAAGCTTGTATTTATATAAAGCCATTGTGGAAAGATGCATATCTTGATCTGGGTGCTCCACACCAGCCCCAAGCTCCATCTGTGGCAAAATGCATTGAACAGTTTGAGGTTTGAGCCTGTGCTTGGCCCTCGGTGTGTCCTGGTCACTCATCCCAAGGGATCTGTGGCAAAGAAATGCTGGGTTGGTCATACAAACTGCAGTTCAGTTCTGGAACACCTGTGGGCAACATGGAAAGAAAACTGAAAGTGGCCTGGCTTCTTCCAGCATCCTGTATCCAGGGATGCTCTGTGTCCATTTGGGTATCAGGGAGTTCCAGGAGAACAGTCTTGGAATTAGGCAGAAGGCTTGGAGTGAAGGGTCCAGGGAGGGCACAGCAGCCAACTGCCAGCCCAAAGGCACTTGAAAAAGAATTTATTAAAATAATTTCTTTTACTGATTTTTTGAAGCGCCCACTTGTCACATTTACTCTGATTATGGCTCTGGGAGGGGGCTGGCATTGTCATTTAAAATACAATTTTCCTTTAGATTCTCATCTGAAGGAGGGGAAAAAGTGTATTTTCTAACTGCATCATCAAGGATGTGATGGATTGTCAGAGGGAAGGGTCCTGTGCCAGGAGTGGGCAGCTGTGGGATGGAGCTGATCCCATTGGCACTGCGAGACACGCATGGAGGCACCGTGAGTCGCACCCCACACCCCCACTGAACACCCAGACATCAGTGTTGGACATTCTGCACCAAGCTCAGCCCCCACAGTGCAGCTCTGCGTGACAAACCACGGCTGTGTGCTGAGCTGGAGTGTGCTGTGTGACAGCAACCTGAGACACACACAGCTCCAGGCAGGAGATCCAGCCCCAGCTCCAGGAGGAGATCCAGCCCCAGCTCCGGGGAGGAGATCAGCCCCAGCTCCAAGGAGGAGATCCAGCCCCAGCTCCGGGGAGGAGATCCAGCCCCAGCTCCAAGGAGGAGATCCAGCCCCAGCTCCAAGGAGGAGATCCAGCCCCAGCTCCAGGGAGGAGATCAGCCCCAGCTCCAAGGAGGAGATCCAGCCCTAGCTCCAGGCAGGAGATCCAGCCCCAGCTCCAAGGAGGAGATCCAGCCCCAGCTCCAGGGAGGAGATCCAGCCCCAGCTCCAGGCAGGAGATCAGCCCCAGCTCCAAGGAGGAGATCCAGCCCCAGCTCCAGGGAGGAGATCCAGCCCCAGCTCCAGGCAGGAGATCCAGCCCCAGCTCCAGGCAGGAGATCCAGCCCCAGCTCTGGGCAGCAGATCCAGCCCCAGCTCCAGGAAGATGTGATGTTCATGGGCTGAAGCAGCCCCAAACCTCAGTGTTCCTGCTGAAGCAGCTCCAAACCTCTTGCCCATGAGCCACAGGATGTTTTTCCACCACTCCCCCCAGTGCACTTGGACGAGATCTGCTGAGCTCTGTGTGTGCACAGCCAAGCCTTGGCTTGAGGTTAGGGGGACACAGGGTCTGGAATCCGAGGTTCAGACTCACCAGAGATGGAAAGGCCACAGGAGGGGTTAGAGCATGGTGATGGTGAGCACAGGAGGGATGAAAGAGAGAGAGACAAAGCAGGTTGATTCAGCAGCCACACCTGGCTTTGCAGGGTTTGATCCTCCCTGTGACAGTGCCGGGGCCACCATCCCCTCCATGAGCTGCACCGTGTGCCGGACCAGGGATCTGGGGAGATGGCTTGTGGCAAATCAGCTCCCTCAGGGTTTGTGTTGGGCCCTGGGATCCTTCCTGTCACACAGAGCTGTGTGTGCCCGCTCAGGCCACGGGCTCCTTGTGATAGTGCCGTGGCCACCATCCCCTCCATGAGCTGCACCGTGTGCCGGAACAGGGATCTGGGGAGATGGCTTGTGGCAAATCAGCTCCCTCAGGGTTTGTGTTGGGCCCTGGGATCGCTCCTGTCGCACGGAGCCGCGTGTGCCCGCTCAGGCCACGGGGGTGCTGAGCTCCGTGCCCGGGGGCTCCGTGTCCCAGAGGCTGACGGAGCGGGCCCCGGGGCCCCGCGGCGCCGGGGGCAGCCTGGGCTCGCTGCCCGGAGCCCCGGAGTCCATGGAGTCGGTCTCCGCCTGCAGGGTGAGCACGTTCTTGAGGGAGGTGGCGGCGCGGGCCGCGCTGTTGGAGTTCCTCATGGACAGGGAGATGGCGCTGGGCCGCGGCTCCGCCGGGCGCCGGCAGCAGGGCAGGAATTTGCCCATGGCCCTCTTGAAGTCCCTCATGAAGAGCGGGTAGATGATGGGGTTCATGGTGCTGTTGCAGTAGCCCAGCCAGGTGAGCACATCGAAGAATCCGGCCGGGACACAGTCACAAACTGCCTGGGGGACACAGCAGGGATCAGCAGCCTCCCACCTCAGCCCCAGCCTGTAGCAGACTCCATGGAGCTGGCTAGGCCCCCATGGAGTGCTGAGATTTAACAGTAGGAACTGCTGAGACACCAAAATAAGCTCCTGTCTTCTGCCTCTTGAACCCTAGCTTATCTCTGTATCCCCACAGGCCACTTTTCCCCTAACCCCTACTATTAGGCAAGTTTGGATCCCCCTTTACCCTACAAAAAGGGGCTGTTTTAGCCTGTTCAGGAGAAGAGGAGCTGTCACTGGAACCCTTCACAGACACCCCAAAAAACCATCACTGTGGAACCACCAGGACCCTCCTCCTCCTCTCTCTCTCTGCTTCTACCCCCAGCCCTCTGGCACTTTTGACAAGCACGAGCTGAAATCCTAAGAGAGCTGATAACCACTAAAGAGCTGAAAATCACTTGGCTTGCCAAAGGTAGCCACGGCTTTGAGCAGCAGCGTGGGTATCCGGGCACTCTGTGTCCAGGAGGGACTGATTTATCCAGACAGGACTGCCTGGCTCAGGGTTAAGCCTAATCTGAGGACCTGCGGGTCTTTTTCACCAACCCAGAGGGGTTTCCCAGGCACACCAACATTCCCCTTTCAGAGGAAACCTTCAAATCCCTTTTGAAGGGCTTTTTCCTTGCTGTTGCTCCCTGGGGAATTGCATCCTTGGTCCCTGAAGTCCAGCAAGACCTTCTGGTGCCTCCAGTTGAACCCAGCTGGATTCCAAAGGGAAAACTTCTGGAAATCCGACATCAAGCCCCCACAGGCTCTTACCTGAGCTACGTTGGTGACGAAGAAGGGCAGCCAAGCCACGAAGAACATGCCCAGGAGGATGCCCAGGGTCAGGCTGGCCTTCAGAGCCTTCTTGCTGTGCTTGTTGGTGAACCTCCTGCTCTCACTGCCAGCCAGGGGCTGGCTTGGGGCGCGTGGGACCTGCAGTCAGAGACAGGCAGGGGTGGGCAGCTCTCCCTGGCACCAGCACTGCCCTCTGCTCAACAAAAGTGGCATTTGGTGCTCCAGATCCTGCAAAACCCCTGCCAGTAATTCCCTTCTCTGTTCAGGGCTTTGCAGACACCATGAGCTGGGCACACACCGCGAGCCCTGAAGCATAAATTAGGAAGGGGAAGCAACAGAAACCCTCAACACTGAGGGTATGATTTTATTTACTGTAAAATAGTGTGTTTGTCATTAGGCTACTCTTTAGAGAAAAACCCAGCTCAGTCCATGTGAGGATAAAGCCTGTCCTAAACAGGCAGCTCCAGCTGCTGATTACAGCAGCAAACTAATTATGGTTTTAAAAGGAGGACATGAAGCATTTCAGCCTCCAAACACCATAACCCAGCCCCCCGTCCCCTCCTGCAATCTAAAATTAAGTGATTATCTCAGCCCTCCCCTGGAATTAAATGATACCCTGTTGCAACTCAGCTTCCAGCCCAAAAAGAGAACAAAAATCTCTAAAATTAGATGAAGATAGAAAAGCTTAAAAGATTAATCTGAGGGTTCCTGGCTGACACCTTGTTCCTCAGCCAATTTGGGTCCTCAAGGAAGCTTTTTGGCCTCAGCTGAATGACAGGGGGATGGATGCTGCTCTTGCATGGCACAGCAAAGCCCTGAACATCCCCTGATTCTGTGAAGTCCAAAAACCTGGCATCCTGCGAGGAAATAAACACTTTATGATATTGTGTGTTTATTCTTTAATTCTCCTTTTCCTTTTGACCGTCTGGTGCAGCTTATCACGTGTGGGAGAGCTGGCCGGAGTCCTGGCTCTGCTCTTGGAGAGAATAAACTCAATCAAGGTATTTAAAGGCAATTAAGTTTGCCTTTTCCCTGTAGGATATGAGGTCAATAAAGCCTATTACAGGGAATTAAAGCTGTTAGATTTAGTGGCAATTACCTTCTCCTGGAGAAATACAAACAAGTGCAGCCACGTTTTTGTTATAAAACCCACACACTCCGGTTCCACCGGCGAGCACACGAGGAGGGCTTTGGCAGCTCCTGTTATAGAGCAGGTAACAAAAATAGAAGCTTCTGTTCAAAATAAGGTGCTCTTGGGAATCTGGCATTTGCTATTAGTTAAAATCCTTCTCCCCCGTATGTCTCACACCCACCACGGCCAAGATTTATGAGTGGAAAGTCAGATAAGATTAAACCCCTCGGGGATGACGCCAGCCAAGAGAGGGGGGAAACTGCGCTTATTTTGCACTGCTGAGCATTTTTGCCGGAATCTTATTTATTTCTCTGCTTCTGCTCACGCTCTTTCTGTGCTCATGAGCAGTCTCAGAGCTCTCCATTGCTGGGACAAGGCACGGGGCACCTCAGAGGATGTCAGGGAGGTGGATGTTGCCCAAAATCTCCCTCCCTGCAGGTGTCAAAGCTGGCTCCGGCCCCGAGGCCATCCAGGAGGCACAAACAGCCCAGGCACCCAAACTGTGGGATCTGCCAGAGGCATCACATCCCTGTGGGCTCCTTACCTGCGGCGTGGCCTCGTCAGCAGTGGCCACGTTGGAGGCCAGGGAGGCCACCTGCACGGCCTGCTTGCGCGCCGCCAGCAGGATGCGGCAGTAGGTGAAGGAGATGGCGGCGGAGGGCAGGAAGAAGGTGAGGCAGGAGGCCACCAGGGCGTAGGGCAGGCTGACCAGCAGCCGGCACTGCTCCTCGTCCCCCCGGCCCCCCGTGACGTTCAGGGGCTGCACCTGGAACTCCAGCTCGTGCCAGCCCATCTTGATGGGCAGGAAGGAGGCCAGCGCGGCCAAGGCCCAGGCGGCCAGGACGAGCGCCAGCGCCCGGCAGGACGTCATGCGCAGCTTGTAGCGCAGCGGGGACGTGATGAGCAGGTACCTGTCCAGGCTGATGAGGCACAGGTTGAGGATGGAGGCGCTGCAGCACATGACGTCGAAGGAGGCCCAGAGGGAGCAGAAGTCCCCCCGCAGCACCCAGCGGCCGTAGAGCTGGTTGAGCATGGCCGGGGGCATCACCACCAGCCCCACCATCAGGTCCGACATGAACAGGGACACCAGGAAGTAGTTGGAGGTGTTGCGGAGGGAGCGCTGGCTGACGATGAGGAGGATGAGGAGGAAGTTGCCCGCCGTGGTCAGCAGGATGATGAAGCAGAGGAAGGCGGCCACCCAGCTGCTGCCCACGAGCAGGGAGTGCTCTCCCAGCACGCTGGCATTGGGGGCCCCCAGGTCCCCCTCCATGAGGAGCCGGGGGCAGGGCTGGCTCTGGGCTGGGCACCTTCTCCAGCGTGGCCCGTGCTACGTGATCATCACCGGGGCTGGGGAAGGAGGATCATCTCTCTGCTCTGTGTCTGTCCTCCCTTCTCCTCTCCTCCTCTCCCTCTCTTCCCCCACTGTCTCTCCTCACTGGCACTCAGGGCAGGGTGACATTCCCAGGAGCCGATCAGCAGCACCAAGGTTCCCTCCCCATTACTCACAGCAGTTCCTGTAAATCCCCCTGCTCTGGGATGTCTCTGGATGCTGCTTCTGGATGCTGGGGACGAGCTGGAAGGCAGAGTTCCCAAGGTGCCAGGGATGGCAGGATGCTCTGGATACCCTGATGCTCTGGATGCACCGGACCAAGGAACAATACAGCACCGAGATGCTCTGGATGCTCTGCACTTCAGCTGCTGGGGATGCTCTGCATGCCAGGATATCCCAGGTGCCAGGGCTGCTGGGAAAGCAGCTGGGGATGCTCTGCACTCCAGGATGCTCCAGATGCTGGGGAAGCTCCGGCCCCCCGAGGCTCAGCTGCCGCCCCCCGGCTGGGCTGCGCGCCCTGCAGAGCTCTGTGCCCGGGGTCCCGGAGCTCCTCCGCTGCTGCAGCCGGAGCGTCGGGAGCGGCAGAGCAGCCTCGGGCGAGGAGGACCGGGATGCTCCCGGCCGAGCCCGCCCGGGAGGAGGAAGATGCGGGCTGTGGAAGGGATCTCTGCCGCGGCACAGCAGCGTCCAGCCCACAGGGAGCGGTGGCAGTGGGTGTGTGCAGGTGCCAGCCCGACTTTCACCTGCTGCTCTGGATGCGCACAAAGGATGCAGAAATGCCGATCGAGGAGGTGGGGCTGGGGGGGAGAGGAGGAGATGGAATGGAAGCGCTAATGAAAACAGGGATCTGGGCTAAACTCCACAAAGTGGCAGCCAGAGAGTTCCCGTTTCTGCCTTAAAGAGACAGCCCCGTGCTCTGTCATCCCTGCTGGAGGCACCTGGGCCAGCAGGTCAGTGGCCAAACCCGGCTGGCGGCTCCACCCTCCACATTGGGAGAGAAAAAGCAAAATTTTGCAAAGTCAAATTCCAAAGCAGCAAACAGCTGCCCACAACAGCCCCCAGGTAGCAGCCCCAGGACTCACTGGCAGATATTGCAGCAATCTGCAGCCAGGGATGGAGGAGCAGAGACAAGGCAGAGCCTGGCCCCTCTGCCCCAGGGTTATTTGGACTGATTTGGGGCAGCCCAGCTCCCTGCCTGAGGGGCAGTCCTGGATGGTCCCACAGCCACAACGGAGAGGAGCCAGCCCAGAAAACCCTTCTGAGTCTCTGTGTGCTGCTGGGGATTCTGTGCTGCCACCTCCACGCTCAGGGCAAACACCTCAGGGTGCTGGGCAGGGACTGCTTAGGGTTCTTTACTTACCCAGCTGCCCAAAGGTGGGATTTTCCCAACCAAAGGCTGTGATTTCTGCTGGGGCAGACCAGGGCTGAGGGCAGTGGCTCCAGCACAGGCCAGAGCTGAGGGTGTGCTCCTGGCACCCACCCTGTGCTCCCAGGGCCAGCCCTGCCCTCCCCAATGCCCACTGGAGCTTTCCTTGGCTCGCCTCCCTGGGCAGTGGTGCTGCAGATGTGTGGGTGAGAGCCAGCTGTGCACACCACACCCCCAGCCACCACCCCGGGACAGAAATCAGCCTCTTTACCACGTCCTGCTTTTCCAGTCACCTTTCCAACACATTTGTTGTGCTTTTCCCAGTGCCTGAACGGGCATTCCAGGCCTGGAAACCACCTGTGAGCAAGGCAGGGGAGGTGGAAGGCAGGGACCCAGACAAACACACACACAGATTTATCCCCCCAGATCTCTGGGTCAGGCTGCCCCTGGCAAACAGCTGCTGCCACTTGTGCCAGGAGAGGCTCTGCTGCCCAGGACCCTCCCCTGGATGCTCCCTGGTCACATCAGTGTCACAGTGTGCTGGCAGCAGCCCCAGGGCAGCACCACGTGCGAGGCTCTGTTTGCAGCAGGAGGTTTCCTTAGAAAAGCCTTTGCCCCAGGAAAGCCTCACCTCCCCTCTGTGCTGGGAACAGAGAGAAACCCCACCCTGAGCCCACCCTGAGCAGCCTCCCCAGGCAGGGTGAGGGAAGGCAGCACTCAGATTTATCCCAGCTGGATGCACAGGGAGGAGGTGATGTCCCAGTGCAGGGCCAGCCTTCCTTCCCAGCCCTGCTGCTCACCAGGAACATCCCAGATTGTCGCAGAGCTTTTGCTTCTGAGGGGGAGATTGGATCAGAATCATTGAATCCTGGCATAGTTTGGGTGTGGAGGGGCCTTAAAGATCATTCCACTCCCACCCCTGCCATGGCAGGGACACCTCCCACTGTGCCAGGGTGCTCTGAGCCTCACCCAGCCTGGCCTTGGGCACTGCCAGGGATCCAGGGCAGCCACAGCTGCTCTGAGCAGCCTCTTCCCAACACCCACAGCACATCCTGCATGCATGGGAGGCTTTGTACACCTGGTTTGGATGTGTTTGCTGGGGCAGCAAATCTGAACTGATCAAAACAAAATGTGTTTAAAAAAACCTGCCTTAAAATGAAGACCAAATCCTGCCATTGTCCCTGCAAAAGCTTCTCTGTGCTGGCAGCTCTCCTGGCCTGTCTGTGCTGCATCTCTGGACACATCTGCAGAGATCATGGACTCCACCAGCTCTGCTCTCCAGCACCACTAGCAGGGAAAGCAAAATCAGGTTGTCAACAACCACCCAAGTGTCAACATGGCAAAAAAAAAAAAACAGGTGAGACAGGGAGAGTCAAACTGGGAGCTGAAAGTCTTCAGTGAGTCTGCAGCAGTCCAGGGCTGAGCACAGAAACCTCCAACCCTGCAATGCCCTCTCGAGATGTCCTTCAGGCTGTAACTGGGATGGCTCCCTGGGTTTGAATCTGGGCAGAGCCTGGCTAACTACCTCAGTTTATGGTTTCATCTGCACAGCAGCCCTCACTGCCTGTCCCTGCTGGAGCTCAGCTCGTGTGGAATGGAGGTGGAGATGTCCTGCTCCAAACACCTTGAACTGCAGCTCCTGGAGTTCACAGGAACAGCCCCCTGCTGAATCCAGCTTGTTTCCACTGTACACCAGCAAAGGGGCCCCATGATGGTGCTCAGTGACCACCACAGGCTTCTCCACCTTTGCCTGGCTCTCAGGTAAAGCTCCCTTCCCTGGGAAGACACTTCACAGCCTAAAAACATCACAATAACACCCAGACCAGCTCTAGCCCTGCCAGGCCCTCCCTGGTCAGCCCAGCCCCTCTGCTGTGGCAATTCCTGCCTAACACAAAGCCTCTCCCACTTCCCAAAGCACAGACCCGCCCTCCCAACCTCTGCAGAGCCCCCAGAGCCTCAAAGAGGGGGACAATAAGAGCTGAGCTCAGTGAGGGGCAGTGAGAGCTGAGCTCAGTGAGGGGCAGTGAGAGCTGAGCTCAATAAAGGGGACAGTGAGAGCTGAGCTCAATAAAGGGGCAATAAGAGCTGAGCTCAATAAAGGGGCAATAAGAGCTGAGCTCAGGGAGGGACACTCAGAGCTCTCTGCTGACCCAGCACAGCCTCTGGCCCCTCCAGGAGCTGCTGGACCTTCCCCAGGGCCAGGCTGAGAGCAAGGAGCATCACTGATCATTGTTCAGGGCACATCCATTCCCCTGATCATTGCTCAGGGCACATCCACGCTGGCACCAGTGGGACCAGAGGTTTGCAAGGGCACAGGGAATGCCCGATCCAAACCCCCTTGGGAAGAGCCCGCTGGCTGCAGCCACGGTGCCCCTCCGTGCCCCGAAGGGATGTCCGGTCCTGTCCTGTCCTGTCCGTCCGAGCCGGCCTCCCGGAGCATCCCGTGAGCACGGGGATGCCGGGGACACGGCGGAGCGAGGCTGGCACCTACCGGCTGTCACCCTGCAGCACAGCAGCCCCGGAGGCTCCCGTGTGTCACAGACATCTGTTAGGAAAAATCCTTTCCTTAGGATTTTTCCTCCTGAGAAGCTGGGAGGCCTCAGGAACAAAATGTAAACAATGGTTATCTGCTGCTGTGGAATGCAACAGGTGCATCTGGGATTGATGTCATAGAGTTGTTTCTAATTAATGGCCAGTCACAGTCAGCTGGCTCAGATGCTCTGTCCGAGACAGAAACTTTTGTTATCATTCTTTCTTTTTCTATTCTTAGCTAGCCTTCTGATGAAATCCTTTCTTCTATTCTTTTAGTATAGTTTTAATATAGTATATATCATAAAATAATAAATCAAGCCTTCTAAAACATGGAGTCAGATCCTCATCTCTTCCCTCATGCTCGGACCCCTGTGAACAGCGTCACACTCATGCACAGGCGGCACCCACAGCCCCCCGGGCAGCTCCCCCAGCACATGCAGCCCAAACCCTCAATATTTGGGCTCGCATTTCCTCCCAGCAGCTCTCTGCTCCTTTTCCCAGCTGGAACGTGGCTCAAAGCTGTGGGAACCACGGCTGTCCCTGCCCCACAGCCTCCTGCCGGTCCTGGCATCAGCGCCACCAAAAACCAGACAGACGGCACAGCGCTGAGCAGTGGAAGTCAGAACTAATTTATTTAAGAAAAAAAAAAAACCCAAAACTTGTCAAAAGGAGGGGGAGGCATTCGATTACAAGCTCTGGAAGCTCTTGTCAGGACAATGCCAAGGAATCAGCTTTACACAGCAGAGAGAGGGGCAGCAGAGGCCGTGCCCACCCTGACCCCCAGCCCTGCCCAAGCACTCCCTGCACAGGGACGTTCCAGCCCTCAGCCCCTTCTCCCTGCACCACCATGGAAGTGCAGCAGGGAGAGGGGGGACAGGGCTGGAACCTCCCCCAGACCCCCCTCAGCTCTTGGCCTTCCCCTGAAGCCCCAGATTTGAAGTCCCAGTGCTCACAATCCAAGTCCCTCACTCCCAAGTCAGGGAGCAACGTGGTGGCCCTGGGGACAGCAAGGTAAGGGTTGTCACTACCACGGCTCCCATGCCCCCAGAGGCACCTCCTGGGGCAAAACCCTCCCCAGGAGCCACCTGATACAAAGGGTTGGGCTCGGACCAAGATCCCGTGGGTGCCAGGAGCGTGCCCACACTGAGCCCTTGTGGGCAGGCAGGGGGAGAGGAGGCAGGAGGGTGCTGCTGGTCCCACCACCCCAGAGATGTGGGTCCCTCCTGGGGCTGTGGAGAGGCTGCTTCCCTTCCTCCTCCACGCTGGGCATGAGGAGAACCCAGCAGGACTCAGAGGGATCCCCCCAGGGCCAGGAGCCTGTGGAGAGCCCCAGCCCCTGCTCTCAGCCAGAGCCCCTCGTGCCACTCCTCTCAATATATTATCATCATCATCATCATCATCATCATCATCATCATCATCATTATTATTATTATGTGCATCTGGGAAGGCCGAGCCCTCGTGTCTCAGCCTGCAGCTCCAGCCTCAGCCCTGCCTGTGCCCCCGGGGTCGGGGGTGACGCGAGGGCAGCGATTTGACAGGAAAGACTCCAGCACCCCCCTCCCTCCCCAAAGCCCGGCCCAGCCCTCAGAGCCCTGCCAGGACAGTCCACAGGGTCACTCCTCGCCCTCCTCCTCGTGGTGGTGGTGGCTGGAGGGCGGCTCCTCCAGCTCCTGCTGGTGGTGGGGGTAGTGGTGGGGCGCGGGCCCCTCGTGGGCCATGTTCTCCCCGGCGTTCAGGTACACGTTGAACAGGGCTCCCTCGTGGCTGGGCTCCTTCCCACAGGCCTGGCAGCTGCAGTGCAGGATCTTCTCCACCAGCTTGTCCACCCTGGGGATCTCCTCGTTGCCTGGGCAGTCCAGAGTCACCTGGGCAGCAGGACAAGGACACAGCGGGTCAGTGCTTGTTGGCCGCTCACCCCTACAAGCAGCGGCAACTGTGGCACCAAACGGCAGCTGCTTGACAAGTGCTCAGGCTCCCCTGGTGGCAGGTGTGACCTGCCCCAGACCCTGCAGATTTGGGGTGGTTTTAGGGCACATGTGATGGGTTTCTATCCATGGAAACAAACCCCTGATCAGTCTGCAGGGTGAGAGTTCTCTGGGAATGTCTCGTTCCAGACACTCATGGAAAAATCATGGAATTATCAAGAGACCTTCAAGCTTATCGAGTCAAACCCTCAACCCAGCACCAGGACAGTCACCTCTGAAACATGGAATCACTGAATCATTAAGATTGGAAAGGACCTCCAAAACCATCAAAACCAACCTATGACCCATTCCCACCTTGTCAGCCAGCCCAGAGCACTGACTGCCCTGTCCAGCCATTCCTTGGGAACCACCAAGGCACAGGGACTCCACCACCTCCTTGGGGGACCTTTTTCCAAAGCCTGACCACCCTTTCAGTGACATTTTTTTTCTTATATCTAATCTGAATCTCCCTTAGTGCAACCTGAGGCCATTTCCTCTCCTCCTTTTACCTGAGACAGGGCAGGAGAGACCAATCCCCACCTCACTCCCACCCTTCAGCACAGCTCCAGCAGGACTCAGCTCCCAGGCACCGCTGGCACTGGAGTGTCCATGAGACAGCAAAGGCCACCCACAAGAGGTGATGCCAAGCAGCCCAATTTGGGCTAAACCCTCTCATCAAATGTGAGCTGGAAGGGAGGCAGAGGGCAGAGCCAGTTCCCTGGGCTCTGGGCTGCTCTGGGACCTGGGTTTATGGCTCTGCCAGGATCAGAGGTGACACGGAACTGTGAGGTCTAAGGATGAACTTCTGGACATCAAACACAGCCAGATCTCCCAGGGGGGTGCAGGTGGACAAAGGGAGCAGTGGAGACAGCAGGAATGTGGATAAGCACAGGGATAAATAATGCAGAGACTGACAGGATATGGTTCTGCAAATAGAGGGATAATGGATCATTCAGCAGAGCTTCCAGCAGCTCCTTCCACCCAGGCATCTCAGGACATGGTACAGCCACCTGAGAGATGCCCTGGGAGGAACCTCTGAGTGGGAAAAGCCCAGAGAAGGAGGAGGAGTGGCCCTGAGGGGGTGTCAGAGCAGAGCTGGGCCCCATGGAGCAGAGCAGGATGGATACTCACGATTTCCCACATGGACTGGGCTGGCATGCAGGAGTCGCAGTGGACCAGGGACTCTGTGGACTGGGGGAAGGTGTTGGGGACGCTGTAGCTGAAGCACTGTCCCAGACAGGCCCTGCAAAGACAGCAGGATGAGGCTCAGGGAGGTGCTGCCCTTCCCAGGCAAGGCAGAGGTGTGACCTTCCCTGGCACAGAGCAGGACCCCGTGCCTGGTGCCAGCCACGGCCCAGAGGCACTGCAGAGCCAGCAGTGCCCCTAGGCCTGCCTGAGGGCAGCTCTGTACCTGTTCTGGATGGATTTGGACTCGCAGCCGCTGTGCCCCACGATCTGGGTGATGTTCTTGGCCTCACACCAGGCGCTCTTGTCGGGGAAGAGGGCGAGCTTGTTTATGGGCGGTGGGGCAGCCAGGAGCAGCGCTGGGAACAGGGCCCCCACCAGGAACCATAACATCATGGCCAGCTCTGCCAGAATCCTACACCTGCACACGGAGAGCACAGCGTTAGCAGCAAACAAAACTGACCAGGCAGCCCATTTCCCCTACCCCAGGGAGTTCCTGGGTGTTAAAAGCACAGGTGGTGGTTTTGATCAAACCACTGGTTTGATCTTGCAGCATGCAAACTGGGTTTCTCTCTGCACAGCATTAATGCTATTTCCTAATGCTATGTCCTCAGCACTGCGAGTTTCATTGCAAAACTGTTGTAATTAGATCACACTGCTGTATGTATAACCACTATGTATAACCAATTTCTCACTTCTGCTAATCAACCTATTCACTTTCTTTTGCTTCCCTGCCTTAATGATGCCAAGGGCCCTGCTCTTTTGTCAGCCTGCCTGGGGGTTTAAGCAGAAGGCTTAATTAATGTCTTCAGCTGTGATCTGGAAAATGCACTGTCTCACAGACAGTTTGGATAGGTCCCTATGATCCCCCTCCACAGCTCCCAGAGCTCTGCCCAGAGTGGGATGTGCTGCTCTGCCCCTTTCCTCTTCCAAAGGAGCTCTGGGCCAGGCAGGAACCTGCCTTGCCTCTCCCAGGCTTTTCCTCATTTCCCACCCAAAGCTGGACTGGGAGAACTTTGCAAACCAAAAGTGTCACCGCCACGAGTCGAGCCGGGCTGGGGAAGTCCCACAGCACAAAAATGTTTTTATTTGAGGAAGGAACGAGCTTTCCCCCTTCCTTTCCTCGCAGCTGGGAAGCCTTGGGGGTCCCCTCTCCTCCTGGGAGCGCGCAGCAGGTGTCGCTGCAAGGCAGCAGCAGAGACACGGGGAAACCTCAGCCCAGGGCTGGGAACCGCGGGGAGGAACAATACAGCGTTTATTTACACAGAGCACTCAAATTCTGCTCAGGGTTATTCCGAGGACGGGACAAGGGGCGGCCTTGTCACAAGGACACGAAGGTGGTGGGCTTGGAGGTCGCTGCTCACCCCCAGAGAAATCCCCCCGAGGTTTCCTTGCTCTGCTCTCCTGAATTAACAGTCCCAAGTCGCTGGGGAAAGGCAGATGGAAAAGCAGCACAGAAACAGGGAGATTTTTTCCCTGTGTGGGGTTTGAATGGAGTCATGGTGAAAGGCATTTATACTTCCTAAAATATTTGTTAGAACCATGTTATTTGTTATTTCCTTCTATTTATTTATCCAGACGATGATGCACAGCCCACACTGGAAAGACTGCTGTTGATTCCCATGGCTCCTGGGCCCAGCCCTCTAACACTTGCTGGGAGGAGAGGAAAAATGCCGCGTTCCTCTGGAGCCCTCATCCACACCCCCAGGGCTGCAGCACCATCAGATTCATCTAAATGATTGAGACACCTCCTGAGCACTCAGGGATTTTAAGGTCGTTATGGGATTTTGCCCTGTTATCCCTCCACTGGATCTGAATCAAGAGACAGACCAGAAAGATTCCTCCCTGCCTTCCATCCCATGGCACACAGAAAAGAGCATCCTCACTCATGGGATCTCTGGAGGAATCTTGTGGGGTCTCTGCTAAATTTCCTCATTTTCTGGTGATATAAGAACCACAGTAATATAATGCAGCAGCACCTGCAGAGCCCTGGCTTTGTAATCCTCCCAGCAGCTGTGGGATGTGGATCCCATGGCTCCCTGGTGGGAATGCCTGCACAAAGGAGACCCTGCAGGTGCTGGCTGGAGATAAGCAGAGGGTTTTAACTCCTGAGCTTGCACCGCCACTAATGAGAGTTGTGGGGTTAAATACATCTGTCCCGAAGAGAACTCTTGTGCCTGAGGTTTCTTTCCCATTTCAGCGGGGGAATTCTGCAATTTCTGAAGGATGAACATGGCTAAGCTGCACACACAGACTCACACACACTTGGTTTGCTTTCTGAAACAAGCATCACTCATTCCTCAAATGCCAGCAGCTCTGTGCTGAGGAATCCTGCTCCCAAAGGCAAGTCCGAGATCAGAGATGGGATGTGACCCAGAGAGCAATCTCAACCCCCCGGGGAACAACCCAAATTCCTCTGGAGCCAGCACACAAGTTCACTTCCACATGCCTGATTAGAGAGCAATTTCCTTCTTTCCTGAGAAAGGTGGGGTTTTTCCAGGTTTCTGTGCATCTCTAGCCAGCTGCAAAGAGGCAAAATTCCTGTCAGTGCTGGGGTCCTGTTTCCTGGGGTCTGTGCTCCATGGAGGTGTTTCTGCTGCTCAGAACAGACCCACAGGCACGAGGGATCCTCTCCCAGCATCCTGTGAAGATGAGCGAGGCTGTGCTCTGCTCCAGCACAGGACCTGGCCTGGATTCAGGAAAGCACTTAAACATGTGCTGAGCTTCTCCTTTCCTGAGCAGGGTGTGTTTGTAACCAGGGCCCCACGGCCGCTGTCCCTGCGCAAGGGGTGGGGAGGAGCTGGGGAATTCCCAGCAGGGGAAGGGGGCACCCCTTTGGAGCTGGAGCAGTTCCAGAGTCCCCCATTGCTCAGGGCACCCAGCACTGCCGTCCCCCGCTGCCCTGCAGCCCTGAGCACACCACATCCCCTGCACATGGTGTTTTCCTTCTCCCAGGAACGCCCTGGAACCCGCAGGGCTACTTTTCTAGTAAGTAACGAGGGTTATGCCAGTGCCTAGGAAAACATCTGATGCAGCTGAGTTTGGGAGGGAGCCGGGGCTGGGAGCAGCGTGTCCATAGCTCAAAGCAGTCATGCGGACAGAGCTGCCACCAGCACCATTCATCTGACAGCGGCCACGGAGACAAAAGCACCGTGTTCCTTCTCCCCCCCGCCTGGGAAGGGAAGGCAAAAAGGAAGACGAGGCACCCGAGCAGGTTTGCAAATTCCCGATTAAATAAAGGCATTGAGCACATTCCTCCGTGACAAGCTAAATTACACGTTGCAGCCCAAAGGAACAAGTGTGTTCCCCGGCTGACCCGGCGGGAGCAGCCACTTCCCGGCACACAGGGGCTTCTTTCTCTCCCCCGAACCCAGGCACATTTTTTCCCCCGCTAGTCAAAGCTCTTCAAGCAGAAAGTTCAGCTCAGTTCCGGCAGAGCCACCGGCCCGTGAGGGGCTCCCCCCGCTCCCTCTGCAGGGAGCCCAGGGCAGCTTCCCCTCCATCCCTCCGGCAGCATTTGGGAAAGAAATGACTCAGCCCTGAACCTGGCACATCCCAGCTCCCGGCACAAACAACCGCTCAGCGCAGCACAGCTGCAGCCCCGCGCTCCGGAGCCTTTTCCAGCCGTGCCCGAGGAGCTGAGGGGCGGCTGGGGCCGGGGCTCCACCCCAGCACCCCCGAACTGGTTCCACCCCAGCACCCCCAAACTGGTTCCACCCCAGTTCCACCTGCAGCTTCCCGGCGTGGAGATCTCCTGGTGCCACCTCAGATGTTCTGTGTCAGCTAGAGGAGCTCCTTCCTCCCATCCCAGCAATTCCAGCACTCTCAGGAGTCCCCCCAGCAGGACAACACCAGCGCCTGGGAGCAGCTGGGAAAATCTCCATCGTTCCATGGGCTGGAGGACAATCCCTGGAATTACCTCGGAGGCCACGTTCCCACCATCCAGCCCACAGCTGTTCCCAGACATTTGGAAACCAAACACTTCTGGAGGAAAATAAAACAGATCTAATCAGTTTTACCCTCTTTTTCCAGTGGGAAGTTTACACCATAACACAAGACAGGCTTGCAGGTGGACATGGGGAATGTTTCAGGAGTTGTTTAATGTGTTTATAGGTATTTTTCTTATCCAGGATCTTGCAATTCTGCCAAACACAGAGAACCACAAACGCAGGTAGGTTGTGCTCAGGGCCACACACGAGGCACCGCAGGCTCTGAGAGACAAGAACCCCCAAAGCTTTCCAAACACCACTGGGGCTCCCAGGCTGTGAGCACAGCACAGACACGGGGTCCATTCCATGCTGTGCCTCAGGGATCCCAGCCCTTACACACGGTTGGGCTCCTGGTCTGGGTCAGAGCTGGGATCCCCTCCCCTGGACACAGGGCTGTCCTTCCTTTCCAGCTCCCCACGCAGCTGTGCCCTCACTGGGCCGAGGAGGGACCCCAGGCTGGTGTGGGACAGGAGCCACAGGAGCCCTCTGTGTGCCTCTGGTGATTTGTGCTGCTTGACAAGAGCTGCCTCACAGAGCAGAGCAGGGCCCAAAGGTGCTCTGTGCCTCAGTTTCCCTGGCTGCAAGAGGAGCAGGGGAGCTGGTGGATGCACAGGGAGGTGTCTGAGACCCAACTCCCCTGGAGAGAAGAGGCTGCCCGGGCAGCAGGGAGGGCTGGGCTGGTGCCAGAGCCCTCAGCCCACACCCCTGGGTGCACAGGGCAGGTGGGGACAGCCAGGTGGGCACAGCCAGGTGTGGGGGAGTCACCCCGGGACACGGCGCCGCAGGCAGGGCAGGGAGCTCTGCAGGGACTCTCTGGGATCTCACTGCAGGGAATGCTCAAAGGAAAATTATTATGGAGGCACCTAAAAGGATGCAAAGCCAAAGTAAAGCGTCTGCTTGGTGGCAGCTGGAAAGAAACATCCCAGGAAGATCCAGGGCACGGCTCTCCTCAGGGGCAGGATTAGGTCTGTAACTGCTGAACACCACTGGGGACTGGCTCTTAGGAAACTCAACTCAAATAATATTTGCTTACATGGAACAAAACAACTTATAAGCCAGCAGTATTAAGAGGAAAAGCTTAAATCTCAACTGCTAAAAATGGAGAAGTCACAATGTATTGAAAAACATCTATCAAAACAACAGATGTTATTTAATACCTATTATTAAATACTTGCCCCTTTTTGAAATTTGCATTTAGCTAAAACTTTACAGTTTTGGGGACCCTTACTGTAGTGACTGTAACAGCCCCAAAATAATCTAATTGAGGTATGATATGAGCAGGAGAGAGGGAAGAGAACTCTGCACTGAGAATGTCTGGAGGGAATTCTTCGGGACAGCAGGACACAAGAGTGCTTAACTGAGCACAGAAATCTCTCCAAGCTCAGAGCCCCAGTCTTGCTTCGCTGAGCTGCAAAATCTGGGGAGAAATTACAAAAAAATAAACAGGGAACCACCACAGGAAGACATTTGATATTTAACAACCACAAGAATCCATCCTAAGAACTTTTTGATAGTGGAGAAAAAGCTGTGTTGTTTCTCACTGTGGACCTGGCTGTGTCTGCTCCTTTCAGAAGCAGATGTTAGAGCTTCCCTTTCTGTAACATATTAATTTCCACTCAAGCATGGTTGGGCAAGTTGCAGAAATAAAGAAAAGCAGTGCAGCATTTTTAAAGCCTTCTGCCCTCCCCACATTGGCCAGAATGTGAAAAGATGTTGGTACATTGGGAGTTTTAATCTGGCTTCTCATCCATGCACTGAGCTCTTGGGAAACTCATTTTTTGCAGCTGGGAAAAAAAAATCCAAGATGCTTTACCTACAAAAGTCATTGGAAAGCTACCTCTGGACTTGGGCTTAGGATGGGGTCCTGAAGGAGCTCTGCTGGAAAAGGGACCCACTAACAGCCTGTAGAAGAGGCAAGAGTCATATAAACAGTTTCTGGCCATTTATTTCAATTGCTCCATTTCTTCAGCATTGAGAACAATCACAGCCAGGAAAATGCATCAACCTAAAGCTCAGGGACGCCTCCTGGCCCCACACCAGTACTGCCCCTCTTCCTGAGGCATGGGGGGCTCTGCAGCCCCCAAGAGCAGCTGGAGGAGTGGGATGGGAACAAGGATCAGCTGTGTGGGGAGCTGGAAAAGGAGCCCGGGACCAGATCAGCTTTGTGGGGAACTGGAAAACAAGTCCAAGACCAGATCAGCTGTGTGGGGAGCTGGAAAAGGAGCCCGGGACCAGATCAGCCGTGTGGGGAGCTGGAAAAGGAGCCCAGGACCGGCCTCCAGCGGCTCCGGGAGCAGCGGGCTGGGCAGCCCCAGCTGGCCGGGCAGGGGGTCCGGGCTCTGCCCAAGCCCTGCACGGGCCAGGACCGGTCTGGAGCCGTGCCTGGAGCGTTCCCAGCCGGGTCGGGCCCGGTGCAGCTGATCCAGCCCAGCCGGGAGCAGCGTTCCAGCCCCGGGCTCGCTCGCATGCCCGGGCCTGAGCGGGGCCCGGCCGCCTCCTGCTCTCCCCGGGGCTGGGGCTCCCTCAGAGCCGGGGCTGGTGCTCCCTCAGAGCCGGGACTGGGACTCCCCCAGAGCCGGGACTGGGGCTCCCCACAGAGCCGGGGCTGGTGCTCCCACATAGCCGAGGCTGGTGCTCCCACATAGCCGAGGCTGGTGCTCCCCACAGAGCCGGGGCTGGTGCTCCCACATAGCCGAGGCTGGTGCTCCCACAGAGCCAGGGCTGGTGCTCCCCCAGAGCCGGGGCTGGTGTTCCCCACAGAGCCGGGGCTGGTGTTCCCCACAGAGCCGGGGCTGGGGCTCCTCACAGAGCCGGGGCTGGGGCTCCCCCAGAGCCGGGACTGGGGCTCCCCCAGAGCCGGGGCTGGTGCTCCCACAGAGCCAGGGCTGGTGCTCCCACATAGCCGGGACTGGGGCTCCCCCAGAGCCGGGACTGGGGCTCCCCACAGAGCCAGGGCTGGGGCTCCCTCAGAGCCGGGGCTGGTGCCCCACAGAGCCGGGACTGGTGCTCCCACAGAGCCGGGCCGAGCCCCGGAGCCAGCCCGGGGATGAGGGCAGCCCGACGGGCACCAGGGTGTCCAACAGCTCCTTTGGATATCCCATGGGTAACACGGATTGTGCTGCTCTCTCCAATGCTGTCCCTGACCCCTGCGAGTTCCCCACCCAGGGTGGACAGGAGGATCTCTTCCTCCTCAGCACATCCCCCCATTCACCCAAGCACGCCCCAGAGCACCGGGCTCGGTCACTCGGGTCCCGCAGGCACAGCCTGGCCCGTCCCAGCTCCCAGGAGGGCAGGAAAGCCCCGGAGCCTCGGGAGCCGCTGGATTTACCCGGTGGATCTGCGGGCAGGCACCGGGCACTGCCCCAGGCAGGGAGAGCTTCTCCCAGCAGGGCCCGTTCTGCTTTCGCTTGGAGTGAGGTAAACTGGGACAGGCTCCTCCAAATGACTCCACTGGTGCAAATGAGATCAGAATCTGGCACCGCTCGTCTTACTCAAAACAAGCCTAACTGGAACCAGATAAAACCAGTTCCAGTGCAGAGTGGCCACCAGGATGATGATTTTTTTAATTCCTGCAAGCAGCGAGGGGAGCTGTCTCGGATGCCAACCACGCTGGCTTTCCCTGGCTCGGTCATTCATTACCAAACTTGCATAAAATCCCAGCGCAGCGGGGTTGCGCCTGCAGGATCAGGTTCCCAGCTGCTGGAGCAAGAAGGGGAAGGAGCAAAGGAGAAAAGAGCTTGTGGATGGAGCTGTGGATCTTTCAGGATCCTCCCTGCTGTCTCCCTCTCTCTTCATACCCGTTCAGGCCATATCTTGGTCACAGCAGCAGAAATTCACTGACCTGATGTGGTTTTGCCCTCTTTTAGTCTCTGCTTTACACCACAGGAGCCTCCTCAGTTCTGATGGCACAAACCCAATGTCTGTGTTATTTACCCATGGCACTGGCCAAAGCAGAAAAACACATGGAAGTGCAAGGCCAGAGGGGTTTGGAGGTAATGCAACAGCCCATGGCCCAGCTGGTATTTTCAGTCGCTACCAGGGCTGACCTCACACTTGACATTTAGACCATTTCTCCAAAAACTGCAGGATTGGGCCCACAAAGAAATCCCACTGTGACCCCAAGAGCACTCCCTTCCCCCCTCTGGACAGGTTGCCTGAGCTCTGTGTCAGAGAAGAAGGAGGCTTAAACCACATCTAAGAGTGACCCTGGCCCGGGCTCCATCCTGACGCCATTTCCAAGGCTCAGCTCTGCAGGGCTGCGATCCTGGAACAGGGAAGCAGCCCAGCCCAGCCCAGCTCCACAACTGCTATGATGGGTGCTGGGCTGTTCCCTTCCCACCCTCGGTGCTAATTTATGTCCAGGAAAGCCCTGGCCCCCACGGCCCTCCCTCCCTAAAACAGCGCTGCACAAGAAACAAAGGTCTGGAGAGCAGCGAGCACAGCCCTGCCAGGGCTAACAGAGGACAGACCACCCCTGGCTCTCACTGCACAACTCCCCCAGAAGGACAATTTTATCAGCTGTTCGGGTTTTTAAGAGTCTGGTTTGAGCGGGTGTGAAGTTTCTTTGCCCTCAGCCGTGCTGGACCCCTGTTACTGAGCTCCTTGCTTTGTCCCAGGGGCTCCCTGAGCCCGTGCAACCACGGAGGAGGGTGGATTTTTCCAGCGGACTTCAAAACAAAAAGAGCAGGAGCAAGGCCCAAGGACGGAGCAAGAACCTGGCTCTGCCCGCCCCGTGGTCGGATATGGGCTCTGGCAGAGGAGCTGCTAAAGCTTTAATGGGAACAGCACGGAGTTTGGGCAGGAATAACTGCCCAGGAGTTTCCTCTGCTCCTCGGGCAGCTTTCCCATGGCTGCACCAGCCTGATCCGCCCTCGGCAATGCCAACGCACGCCGCAAGCAAAGTCACTCCAACACGGGCAGCTCTTCAAGGCTCCCTGAAAAGCACTTTGGCTCAGGGCTTGATCCTGCACCTCCAGAGCACCCAAAATTCCCAACAGCTCCACTGTTTTCCCTGCTCCGGAAAGACGAGCGGGCACTCGGGAGGACTTTGCTCGTTTGCCCTTTTTGTGAGACCGCAAACTCCCCGAGCTGGAATCCAGCGCTGGGAGGTCACGCCAAGAGCCCGGATTCTTCTCAGGGCTGTTTGCAAACACTTGGGATTTTTATACTGAAGGCAAATTCCATTTCCCATCCTGCGGTTTGCAAATTTGAGGCGAGCAGCCTTTTACGAGATGGGAGCCTGCCTTCAAAAGGCAGAAGCGCCCAGTGGATGCAGCTGATTTTTGGCTGGCTGGACACTGCAAAGAAAGCACCGAGTTCTTCGGCTAAAAACACAAGGGAAAATCTGGGTCTCTCCATCGCTAGGATCTTTCCCACTTGTTTCAGCAGGGTTCAAATTTTTCCCAAAAAAACCTACATGGAAAAGCTACCGTGACCTAAATCTACCAACACTTCACACAGGCTGAATTTTTAATTTGATGGGGCTAATCCTATATGTAAAAGTTAGATTGTGGAGTGGAGCAGAACTTGCTGGTTGCTTATAAGAGAAATGTTAGTAGGAAATAAGGGATTGTCCAGATCAACTGTAATGCAGCCCGAAAGCAAGCTAAAGCATGTTCTGTTTCCAAAACACCTACCAGAGAAAAAGAGAAATCCCCACTGATCTTAAAATGCAGACACTGCTGCATGGAACAAATAAAAACTGCTGCAAAAACTGAGACAAATTAAAATGCTACGCTGGGGTTCAAAAAACAGGTAGGGATATATCGGGTATAAGCTTTACAGTAAGTGCCTAAAGTATTTCCATGAAACAAGGATGTAAATTAATCCCCGGGATGAACTTTTCAAGGAACAAAAGTTTACTGCCTTGCCATCGGGAAAACTTCTTCCTTTTATGATCGTTGAACTACCCTGCGTCCGCTGTGGTGTGGTTAATCGATAGTGAGCGTTCCCGTTCTTCCCTCGGCACTTTTGTTTCAAACCCGACAGGGATGGGAAGGAGGGAAGGACTCTGTACCACAGATGTGCGACCGACACAGCGCGGCTCCCCGGCTCCCAGGCTTTTATTCTACTCGAGCCGAAGCGGCGGTGGAAATAGTTTAACGATTGCAGAGCAGATCCCCCCCAAGTCCGCCTCATCTGCAACCCATTTCTGCCCGTGGCAACATCCTCATCCTCCCGGCCATCCATCACCGGCGGGGGGGAGAAGAGAGGCGAGAGGAAAAGAGACGGAAAATCTGGTGCGGGGGAAAAAGCGGCAGGTCCGGGGCGGGGGCGGGGGGCACACAAAGCCAAGGGCTACTCACCAGCCAGGGAACGGCGGGCGCATCCCATGGGGTCCGGGGCCCGGCGGTGCCCGGCGGCTGCCGCATCCCCGGCGCGGCGGGGCGGCCACGGAGGAGGCGCGGGGCGGGCGGGAGCGGCCGCCTCCCTCCCCCCGGTGCCGGGCTCCGGGCGGTGCCGCCGGCCCCGCCGCTCGCGATTGCACAATCGGGCTGCGAAGGGAGAGGAAAGGAGGGGAAAGGAGGGAGGGACGGCCGGCGGGAGGAGGGAGCGGCGGCGGCGGCGGCGGCGGCGCCCGCCCGCCCCGCCGGGCTCCGGGCGCAGCGAGAGCCCCGCGGAGAGCAGAGCCGGGACCCCAGGAACACGGGCACGGAGCTCACCCACCCGCCTGGGCCGTGGAACCCCGGCAAGGGCTGGAGCTAACGGGGAGAGCCCGCTGGAAACGCCCGGGCACGAAACGAGGGGGCTCTCTCGGCCAGGAGAGCCCAGGGGAATGTCCCAGCACTTGCTCCTGCGGTGGCATAAACAGTCTGGACCGGGCTCACTGAACGCCACCAACTCTTATTGAAACATAATTCGTGATAGAGAATCCGTGGGGCAGAGTCCCAGCTGCAGAAAAGACTTTGGGAAAGTTCTCCAGCACTAGAGATGACGGGTTTCTCTTTTACTTTTCCTTTTTTTCCCCCTTCCTCTTTCTCCTCTTTTTTCTCTTTCTTTTTTCTTTCCCTCTTTCCTCTCCCATTACAAAACAGCCAAACCCCAGTGAAGCCCCATTCACGGCTCTTTCGGATAGGATAATTGCTGGAGACCAAGGGCTCTGTTTCTGTTAAGGCACAATTAATCTGAAGAGGCCCCCACATTAAACACTACCCAAATCAAAGATACCTGCCAGGCTTGGCTGGGTTTTGCTGGCTGCTGTTGGTGCGAGGATTTGCATAGAGATCAGAGAAGCAGGAAGGGGAGATGGCAAGAAGCAGCAGCTGTGCTGGGAGAAGTGCTGGCAGTGCCCTGGCAGCAGCTGTGGGGAGAGGCTTTGGGCCTGGCTGTTTGCTGGAGGAGGCTGCAGGCTGCCGTGAAGGAATGGTTTCCTGCTGCCCAGTTCCTTCCAGCTCCAGGATAACAGGATTTGTGAACAGGGTGGCAAAAAGCTGTTTCCAACATCACTTTCATATCCTGCTAAATGCAACCTACCCAGCCCTGAACTGTACTGCACTGCTCAGCTGCAAAAGGGCCAACAAGAGGAACAGCCTCTAGCCATGAGCACACACCCCAAGAGGAGCCAAAATCTGTTTTCCCAGCATTTTCACCCACTGCTGAACCCAGGCCTTTGACCAATGCTCTGCCTGCTCCCCATGGCCAGCCTGACCAGCAGTAAACTCCTGCTTTATTCTGAATAATATGAGTGAAAGAAGAGACATCTGAGACTTTGAAGCAAGTTCTTACAAGGAAAAATAAGACGTAGATGCAGCCAGCAGCTGCACAGCAACAGAGCATGGGCATTGTGGTGAAATTCAGCCGAGTGTTTGGGGTCCACGGTTCAGTGTTTGGGATTCATGGTTCAGTTTTTGGGGTCCATGGCTCAGTGTTTGGGGTCCGTGGTTCAGTGTTTGGGGTTCATGGTTCAGTGTTTGGGATTCATGGTTCAGTTTTTGGGGTCCATGGCTCAGTGTTTGGGGTCTGTGGTTCCATGTTTGGCCTCCATGGCTCAGTGTTTGGGGTCTGTGGTTCAGTGTTTGGGGTCCATGGTTCAGTGTTTGGGCTCCATGGTTCAGTGTTTGGGATTCATGGTTCAGTGTTTGGGGTCTGTGGTTCAGTGTTTGGGGTCCATGGTTCAGTGTTTGGGCTCCATGGCTCACTGTTCGGGGTCCATGGTTCAGTGTTTGGGGTCCATGGTTCAGTGTTCGGGGTCCATGGCTCAGTGTTTGGGGTCCCTGGTTCAGTGTTTGGGGTCCATGGTTCAGTGTTCGGGGTCCATGGCTCAGTGTTTGGGGTCCATGGCTCAGTGTTTGGGGTCCATGGCTCAGTGTTTGGGGTCCATGGTTCCATGTTTGGGGTCTGTGGTTCAGTGTTTGGGGTCCATGGTTCAGTGTTTGGGGTCCATGGCTCAGTGTTTGGGCTCCATGGTTCAGTGTTTGGGGTCCATGGTTCAGTGTTTGGGGTCCATGGCTCAGTGTTTGGGGTCCATGGTTCAGTGTTCGGGGTCCATGGCTCAGTGTTTGGGGTCTGTGGTTCAGTGTTTGGGCTCCATGGTTCAGTGTTTGGGGTCCATGGCTCAGTGTTTGGATGGGATTTGTGGGATCCTCAGCACTGGGGTGTGATTGCTCTGCAAGGAGCTGTGAGCCAGCATGCAGTTCATTCACTGCTTCCTACTATTCATCCCTGTTCCAGTTCTGTAAACAGCATGAAAGGGAAGCAGCAATCAGTGGATCTGGGGGTGGGGAGGCAGGAGGAGCAGGGTTCAGCTCTTCTGGTGTCAGGAGGAACAAGCAGAGGTGCTGCAGGACAGAGCGGCTTGGCTGGGGGATGAAAGAAGCTGCTGAAAGGCTGTCAAAGCCCTGGGCCAAGACTTTTTCCCTTCTCCTTGGCAATGTGATATCACAGCCAGAACCAGGAGTGATGACCTGGTGCCTGCAGATGTCGTTTGGACAGACTGAGGCGCAGAGCAGAGGCAGTGGCTCTGCAGGGAGGGCAGGAGCCGAGCTCAGCAGCCAGTCCCTCTTCCCCAGCCAGGGCTCTGCCCTCAGCAGCAACTTTGGGCTCCTGCTCCACACACCACCCAGTGTTTTACCTGCTCCCACTCCCCTCAGGCTGGGAGGGTTTGCTGCCTGCCCCTGAACAGCCAAAGCACAGTGATGTTCTCCCACAGTGACACAGCTCCTCTCTCTCCCTCACAAACAGCCCATTCCATGCTGCTTTTTCCCCAGGTATTGTACAGGATATTTTGTGCCCCACATCCACACCCCCCATGCTTTCCCCTCAGCCCTCTCCCTGTTGCTGGATCACCAAGGACACAGCAGAAAGCCTGGATGTCCCTCCTCACCCTCTGCTGCTGCTCTGGGCTGCTGACAAACGCCCACAGCGCCAGGGGCTCCCCACTTGTCAGGACAGGACCTGGCACTGTGGGCGTGAGAATGAAAAGGGTGGATGTGTAAGTCAAAAATAAAACCATTTCTTTTATTTGTGTCAGTGCAGAGCCCAGAGCTCCCACATGGGGGGAAGGTGGGTGGGAAATGAGGGGGGAGTGAGTGTGTGTGCCCATGAAGGGCTGCAGGGTGGGGACAATGGCCCTGCACTTATCCCACAGCTGGGCCTGAGTTCCAGCTCCTCCCCACTGGTGATTTGCTCACTATCCCTGAGATGAACCACACAGGGTCCAAGGAAGGGCTCTGAGGGGATAAAGCCCCTTGCATGACCCATGAGGGGCTTGGGAGCCATGGAGCACCCTGCCCACATCAGAGCAGCCCCTTTCACCTCTGCATCTGATCTGCAAATGGGTGCAGAATTGCACTACTGCTCCCTGAAATAATGAGAACTCTTTATCAGCTCCCTTCTGAGGGAGGCTGGATCAAAGCTGGTCAAGGCCAGGCTGGACAGGGCTTGGAGCCTGATTCAGTGTGAGTGGCATCCCTGCCCTTGGCAGGGGCTGGAACAAGATGATCTTTAAGGTCTGTGCCAACCCAAGCCATTCTGGGATTCCATTCCATGATTCTCTCACCACACCATCACCTGCTGGGGTTAAACTCCAGCGTTTTGGTTCCTAAATAAACAAGAACACATCTCCAAGATACCAGGACCCCAAACTACTGTGTAGGGGCATACACCCCCTGGGTGAGTGGAGCAGCACTCCTGCCAGAAGAGAGACACAAAGATTTAACAACTAAAAAAGCTGAGGGGCGATTTCCCATCTCCACCTCAGGTAGGAGGAGGGAGGGACAGTGGTGACAGGGAGGGTGTGAGTGCCACATCCTCTCAGTGCTGCAAGCACAAACCCTCCCATCTGTGCAGCCCCAGCACCCAGGGCAGAGGTGAGCCTGACCTTACAATGACAGCTCTTGCTTCCTGAGGTTCCCCCAAAGCCTGTGGGTACAACAGCCCCCACTGTAAAAATAGGTTAGAAACTGTTGTAAAATAGTTGATAGATTGTTAAGCATGTACTGTTAGTTTGGTTGTTATATTGTAAAAGGGGTTAAAATGGTAGTTATAGGAAATCCAGTACTCAAGGTACCATTGCACACCTCAGTAAAGTGCACCACGAGCCAGCCTGGACAGAACTGTCATGGCCAACCAAGCACCTTAAACCTTCATGCAAATGAAGGATCCCTACAGAAACCAATCCAAAGGGACAAAAAACAGGATAAAAAGGGTCATCTGACCCAGGGAAACTGTGCTGCTCCACCTGGAACATCGGGCCCATCACTGCTGAGCAGCCCCAGTCCCGGCGCTGCTCCATCCTCCATGGGAATGCTCCTGCCCAGGCCAGGCCCCCTTGCTTTGGGCTTTTCTTTTATTAGAATAAATGCTGAAATCACTTCAGTACCAGGAGCCTGCTCTCCTTTTTATCACCCACTGCTTCTTCAGACCCCCAGAGCACTCCCTGAGCTTCACAGCATGCAGGGAGGGAAGAAGAGGCTGGAGGGGAGGTTCAGCCTGCAGGAATTGTGGGGAGTAATGGAGGGAAGATTCAGCCATGGCAGGAATTGTGGAGCCTTGGAGGGAAGGTTCAGCCATGGCAGGAGTTGTGGAGCCACTCAGGGAAGGTTCAGCCAGGGCAGGAATTGCGCAGCAATGGAAGGAAGGTTCAGCCTGCAGGAATTGTGGAGCCATGGAGGGAAGGCTCAGCCAGGACAGGAATGGGGAGCCATTCAGGGAAGGTTCAGCCATGGCAGGAATTGTGGAGCCATTCAGGGAAGGTTCAGCCATGGCAGGAGTTGTGGAGCCATTCAGGGAAGGTTCAGCCATGGCAGGAGTTGTGGAGCAGTGGAGGGAAGGTTCAGCCTGCAGGAATTGTGGTGCCATTCAGGGAAGGCTCAGCCAGGACAGGAATGTGGAGCAGCCTCCATGAGGTTGAGGAGCCCAGACTGGAGCTCTGTGCTGGTTCCCC